CCCCTCCCACAGCCTGGTCCCCTTCATCCATCATGTCACCAGCAGCCTCCATCAAGGGCCCCTGCGGGACAGATGGGTGTCATCTGTGGGCCAGGGTCTGCGTGTCACCACTGTTCTCCTTGAGGCTTTCTGGTGTGCATCAATGCCGCTGGCCTGCTGGAGCACAGTCTTCAGTGAAACTTTGCTTTATCTCATGTCTTCTAAGGAAAGCAGTGACAGCTACGTCCCTTGAAACTTGCAGTTGGTGCCACAGTCTCTCTTTAAGAAAGCAAAATTTCTTTTGAACACTCAGGGTTTGATTTTAGCACACGTGCTTGAGATGGATGCAATTGCTATACAAGTGGAAAAAGGCATCCATCCTCCATGAGTCCTCCGGAGAAGAGCACGTGGATGTTTCCATCTGAAAACTGCTGTCAGAGCAGTAACCACGGGCTCTCAGCAGGGATGCAGCTCAAGAAGGGGGCGGCCCCAGCCTTCTCCATGGCAAAAATCACTTTGGATGTTTGTAGACACTAAATGCACTCGGTGTGCTAGCTGCCTATAGCACATACTTTCAAACTCAGATGCTTGAATATTTGACAATTAAGGACCAGAAATTGGTTGACAGTTGATTTAAATATTCTCAGTGTCTGGTGAAGAAATTTCAGGGGAGGGAGCTGTTTGTCATACATAGCGATTACTTTCCTAACGCTTTTTGATAATCCTGGTCCACGGCTGACGAGGGTCAACTTAGCAGATATGGTTTCAGTTTCAAAGATGAACATGCCTTTTATAACCTTGCACAACATTTTTAAAGGAAATTAAATACTAAATGAATGTATGTACTTAATGGGCTATTTATATAATGTTAATGACTCCAACTAAGAAATGCCAGGAGATGTACATAGTTCTTAGTATTTAATAAACAGAATGTGTTTACCACCATTTTGTTTACTGTGGCTGATATAGTTGTACTGGTAAAGTTTGGATTTATTTCTATTTTTGTTGTTTTTCAGCAGATCTGCATGGTAGGTGAATGTATATCTGCTCTCTGTGGTAGTCTGGAGAAATAATAATTGCTTCATGCTTGGCTATTCTTAACATTCAAGACATCTTTCTCCTTTCAAATAAGTCTACTACCTGCACCTTGTATCATAGTTTACAGCAAAGGCCCAACATGACTTTGTGATAGAAACGTGCTACGGTAACTGTTGTGTTTGTCTTGTTTGATGCAGCGAAGGCTGTTGGGGTCGGCGCTGTGCACAGAACAAAGCAAGATGATGGACCCAAGGTGAATGATCCCAGGCTCCTCCCAGATAAGTTTCTTCAGAGGACAGCCAAGGTAACTCCATGGAGAGTGACAAGCAAGCACGAGTGTGCTCCCAAAGGCTGGAGGAGACCAGCCCTGGCCTCCTTGTAATCTTCATCTGTTGATCTTTGAATCTCATTTCTCCATTTCAAAGAGAATAATTGTCCGATCTGATAAAAATCAAGTGTCTTGTTATTTTTACCAATTATCCTAGTTTAAATTCCCTTTGTTACGCAAAATTACTTAGCAAGATTCTGAAAAAAGTTTGGATACTATGGATATGAACATCAGGATATCCAAAGTTGTCAGAATTAATTCTTACAGACTTTGGAAAGGCTGTTTGTGCTGTTGGTTCAAGATTTGAGTCAACCTCTGAATATTAGGAGACCAGAAAAGGACTACTGGGTCAGGCTGGGTCAGGTCTTTTCCACTTCTTGTGCTTTCCCTTGCAGCCTCTGATTCTGGTCCCTCTTCTGGGCTGGGCTGCCCTCCGGTCTCATCCAGCGTGGCAATTCCAGTGCTCAGAATCGCACAGAGGTGCAGCTCCTGAAACCTTCTGGAAGGAACTCTCCTGTATAAGCTTAGGAAATCGGCTATAATATTTCTGTTATCCAGTGATTTATTATGGTCTACAAAAATATAGCCTGGATGAACACCTCTCTGGAACAATTATTTAGTGATATTGTAATTTATTATTCTTTTCAAAGCCGTCTTGTGTAAAGGTAAAATAACCCCTAACTTCAGAAGGCACAGAGAGGAGGAAAGAACTGCCAAATTCCCCACAGCACATCCTTTCCTGTGGTTAGCGTTGGATCCGCCAGCGGCACTGTTTTTGGACTGGCCTGTTCTGTGCTGAATGTCGAAATCGCAGGCCGAGGATACAAATGAAAGATTTTACAGGAGTTGCTTGTATGTTGTGGCTAATTCCCTGCATTTGGAAGCATCTGCTTCTTGTCTGGTTTTGTTCTGTAATCAAGAAAATTGCTGTGGAGAGCTAGCACTTGGAAGGCACTTACCTCTTCTATAGCCATGAGCAGGATGGCAAGGAAAATACATTGTAAATAGGTACTCGGTTAAAAAATACACGCACACTTATACACACACAGGGAAAACATGATATAGGCCTTGTGATTTTTCCAGGTATTCTGCTAAGCCTCTGTGTATCCCTATTCTCTTAAAGAAAATAAGTTTCTCTGAAGGTATTAACTGTAGGAACCTTTGCCTCTTCCAGGTGGTCTATATTTTGGAAAAGAAGCATTCCCGGGCAGCTACAGGCTTCATCAAGCTTCTGGCAGACAAGAACAGTGAACTCTTCAGGAGGTGTGCCATGTTCTCACCTGTGGACCACAGAGTGCCCAGGGCCTATGTGTCCTTGGCTGACTGCCCTCCAGACTTTGTAACCAGGCCTGAGGACTATTCAAATATGCTCTTCATTTGTCGCATAGTGGACTGGAAAGAAGACAGTAACTTTGCAACAGGGTATGTGGCTGCCATTGGAAGTAGAAATGACAGATTTCTAGTTGGAGTTCTTGGTTTCACTTAGTTTGATACATTCAATAGAGACAGGAATCTGTTAACAAGATACTTGTCTTGTATCCATCTGCCATTTGGTGGATGAACTGTGGTGAGGCTAAGGACAGCTCACTCATCACTAGTTAATCTGGCTACGTAATATTAGTTTCTTTTGGTGCTTGCTACAGTGTGCTGGCACATCACAGCATTAACGAGCGTATGGTCTTTGCTCAGAAGAGCTTGCAGTCTAGAGGGAAGACACACAGGTACTTAGCCTGATCAGTGCAAGCACCGTAGGGTGCTGGCAGCCTTTCAGTCCTTCCTCCCTTTGTGTAAGAGGAGTACACAGTGCATAGACATTTCATTTCTGCCAGAGGAAGATGATCAGTAGCTGTGAGGCTCATTTTTGGTTTTTAAGCCTTTACTGATAAGTAGTAGAAAGAAGTAACAGATTTTTGTGGTATTTAAATTCTTATTGCTTCAAGGAAGGATACTACAAATCAAGAGAAGATTTGTTCTGTCCTGGAGCAGATGAGAAGGGTGTTGCACTCTGCGCTTTTCAGGAGGCACTGTAAAGCCATTGCTGTCCAGAGTTCAAATTGCAGTCACTGCCGTGAAAGAGGAGATTTTAAGTCAGGGCTACTCAAATGGCCTGTGCTGTGCTGGATCCACATTGCAAGTTCATTTTGCCTCTCCTTGAGGAAGACGCTGTAGTTCTCAGCATTTTTGTTCTTTCCTTGGGAACAGCTGCAGTGTGGCAAGCACCCACCTGGAGTGGCCACGCTGCTTCCTATTGAGTGGGTCTCAGTAAGAAATGGTGGACATTGATAAATCTATTCATCCTGGGAAAAACTGAGTAGTCCTGGCTTAGTTGGTGGTCCAGAGTAGGTAACTTTAACCTATGGCAATGCTGTGGTCAAATTTTACAGGTGATGGGGATCTGGATGTAATCTGGAGCATATGCGGTAGTGGGAGTTAGGGGCATAAAGCCCAACTTTTCCCCTTGCAAAGCTGTTCTGATGGGGGAGCACAATGGATGTACAATGTCAGCACCGTGGTTTTTGGAGTCCTCAGCTCAAACTCCTGGTAAAACTTAAAACTTACATAAAGCTGGTTTTTTTTTTTTTTTTTTTTTTTTTTTTTTTTTTTAAAGTATGCTGGCACAGATCTATCAGCCCTAAAACTAAAAGTAAACTAAACTGAAGTCCCCGTTTCCCTGAGTTTGAGTTCATTACCAGTTGCGGCTGCTTTGTGTGCCCAGTAATAGCGAGTTTCACGTGTACCCCTTGAGAGCCTCACGAGCCATTAAGTCACTCAGTATTTCCTAGCTAAACTGCAGTGCATGAACTGAAGTTTGAGCCCCACTTAACTAGGGGCTGGCTGTGCTGTGAACTTCACTATGACTAAGTTTCTTATTGGCAGGGATTTTCTTTGTCTTCTTTGACTACAACAGAGAAAAGACTGGAGGGTGATTGTGTTGCTTGGCTTCTTGTCATGAACAACCCCCTTTTCAGCAGAAATGGGGGAAATCAGGAGGATGGGCTAATGCCTTTTTTCATTGGGTAATGTGCGTTTCTTTAATCTGTGCTTCTGACAGCATTGTATATTCTCATCTGGCTGATTTGGTAGTTTCCAAGATGTAAAGGGTGTTGTCAGGAAAGAAAACGTCCACGATTGTCTTCATACATAGCCATTTCCTCTGGGACTTCAGTAAGTGCCTTGTGGAGATGGGAGCATAAAACCTCGGTGACCCATTTTGTTTATAACTATAAATACCTGCTTCTTTAAACACTGAAAGACAAGGAAACCTCTTGAAGGTCCCAAAAGTTACTGTTTCCTTTCGGGCTGGTTTATAAGCTTGTTTATAAGCCATGTTAGTAGTCATGGCCCACCTGAAGGAGAGATGGGCAGGTGATCTGCAGCTCATTGCATGCTTGGCTTTTTGAATGTTCTTGTTCTGCCCACAGATTTCATGATACCCCTTTGGCAGCACCACCATAGTTTTGAAGGTGTCTGGACTAAAGAGCCTGTAGGTCATCACTCTGCACTGTCCAAGTCTGCTGGAAGTACGATAAGGGAAACTCCCTCCGCAATTGGCAGTCATCTCCCCTGGGTACCTTGGGTGTTTCCAGGCGCTCTCCATCCTGCAGCCAAAATCTCCCAGGCTGGTTATGCTCCTTCCTCAGCTTTTCCCTTGGAAAGTTCAGTGCTGTGTTTCCAAGCACAGTTCATGGCATAGTCAGGTCTTTGTGGTGACTGCATGTGGCTGGAGCAGTGGCATGCTCTGGCCAAGGGCTTGGCGGTGGCACTGGCCACCCAGGGTGGTCGCCTGCACAGGGGCAACCTGAGAGTCCCTGGAGGTCCCCTTGGGGGGGGGGGGTGCGTTTCTGTGTCGTGATTGCCACCTGGTGGTCACCAATGAGACACTGTCCCCTCTGAAGGGCACCCTGTCACCCCGATTGTGCTGGGAAAGAGCAGGGAGGAACTGATGTGTCCCAGTACCGCTGGTGATGCCCTGACAGTGTGCTGCTGTGCTCCCTCCTGCATGTGAATTCATTTTACTGTGGTAGTCAAATGCCGTTTAGCTGTACCTGCTTCAGGTAGCAGGTAAAGCAAAATAGCTCCAAAATATTCCCCTTTTCCAGATAAATATTACAAGTAATGCCACATACAGTTCTTTTCTGGGGACCTTTTTTCAGTGTCGCAGTCCAGGGCTGTCTGGAGATTAGTCCAGACATCTCTGCACTTTTGGAGACGGTTAAGGTAGAATCTTTTTGCCCCTGCATATAATGATGGATGAGACTATTTAAAAAAAAAAAAAAAGTAATAGTAAAATGTTGAATCACTGACTCCCTCTGTGTTGCACGGGGCCTGTGGGTATTCTCGCTCAGGGCCTTAGATATTGGTCTGTCAAGGTGACAAGATTTGCCATGGCATTTCCAATAAAATGAAATGTTGCACGATGTTCTTTTGCTAGACGCTCATTCCAAAGCCATCCAAGTGGCTTGAATTCTTTTAATCTCTGGCATTTCATTCTGTTTTTTTTTTTAATTCATAAATGTATTTGGTGTGAGGAGAAATGACCAGATACCTTGGGTGGCTCACTGTAAGGCTTGAGGGAAGGTCTGATTCCCAAGCAGTGTAGCTCTGTTGCAAAAACCCCTTCTTGCAGGTGGGTCTGTCTCTCAGCAAAGCTGCGTTCCCGTGGCACAGCTATCACCGTGCTACTCTGCAGCATGGGGTGGTCCCACCTGCCCTGGGAGCGCTGTGCTGCTGCTGCGCTCCGATGGCGAGTGGCCCGGCAGCTGAAGGGAGGCAGCTTCATGGTGCAGAGTGGGGCTGGACTGTGTGCTCAGGTGCTGGGGGTTCCTGTGACACAGCTCACTGGCTCCGTGGTGCTCAGCCCTGCAGACATCTTGCCATCTCCACTGGGACCTTTGGGCTTTATCAAGCCTGTGCAGCTGTGCCTGTGAGCTGCGGGCCCTGGGTGGTGGGAGCAGCTAGGTAGTCCTTGCTGACCCCTCTCTTGCTCCTGTACAAGCTCCCTCTAGGATCGGTGGCTTATTGATGTGTAGGATGTTCTCCTGCTGCTGAAAGAAATCCTCTGTGTAGGATGACTGTGGACAATTCTGCTCCAGGAGATACTGAGTAAGGTTGTTAAGTCTCCATGGAAGTTATTCACTCCCATTTGGGAGCCTGCCTGGCTTTCCAAAGGAAACATGCCTTATGTAATTACGCTTTGTCTTTTTGGAGAGTTCTTATCATGTAACCTTTGAATACACTGGCCAGTTTCAGCTGGGTCTGGGGAGTGGAGAGGGCTTGAATGTTTGTAGGGTGGTCGAATAGATGTGATCAGTGTCACCAGGAAGGGGACGATGGCAGCATGAGTGTGGCTCTGCCCCAGGCGCACACGCAGGGGAGGTCGAGCTCGGGTGAGTCGGCAGCCTGGAGCAGTTCCATGAGCTTGCAGCTATGGCTGCTTTGCAGAAGTACCCTGTGCTGTGTGCTGCCCAGCACCCCAACTGCCGCGTGTTCCTGTGGGTGCGTGGTGCCACTGTGTCTGACAGCAGCCCAAGGGTATTCAAGGAACCCTCCGAAGTGCTCTCATGCTCCCCCATCAACGTCACAGAAAAGAAATGTTTACGTCTGTAACCATTATAATTTTTTTTTTACCTTTTAACATTTAAAAAAAAAAAAGAAGATACACGTAAGCCTGGGGTGTCACAGACACCGTGACTCCCTGGGAGTGAATGTCTGACTGCCGCTGGGCCCTGTGCCTGTTGTTGTTTATAAGCCTCTTGAACTATTCTTGCTACCCTTGGTGGCCACGGAGCCCCATGAGTGATTTTACAGCCTGGCTGTTACTCCAGGGCCATCGGTGATCCTATATGTGTTACCTTTGATCACATGCTGTCCTGTCAGATTTTGCTCTGATGCAAGTCATCACGTCTGCGTGACTGTAACATGGCCCCAATTAAAGTCAGTTGTACACTTTTTATTTCAAGGTACTTGGGAAATGTTCCCTGGAATGCTGTAAATCAAATGTTAATTACTATAAAAAAATATTAGTCCTATATCAAACCTCTGGGTAAACCCCTTATGGTTCATAATCTAATTTCAGTAAACGGATCAAGAGAACATGGGTTTCAAGACTGAGCTGGAAAGCGCTCTGGCATTCAGAGGTGCTTTCCACGACCTGTCGTGCAGATGTCCAGCCACCCTCCTGGTACACTTCCCAGCTCTGCACTTCCAAGAGGAAGAGGCACCTGAGACTCAAGCCCTTGCCATTTCTTTTTGGTAGGGCAACATGTCCTCTCTTTTCCTCTTTTATTCTTTTTCCACAGTCCATCCTTGGTGGTGCTGGTGGGCCTGCAGACCCACGGCTCGTCCTTGCTTGGTTTCCCAGCTTGGCAGTAGATGTTGGAAATGAAGTGGTGATTTCTCTGGTTTATTGTTACTACTGAGAGAGAGGGAGATAAAACTGATGCCTCGTTTATTTACATTAAAATAAGGATCAGACAGGGACCAAGCTGCAGGAGCAGGGAACTCAGCTTCGATGCCAAACGCGCACGTATTTCTGCCATACAGTTTGTACATAAAATTGAAACAATGGAGGGAAATATCTTTTATCCTTGTTTTCATTTTTATTTTAAAGCTAGGCAATGTGAACTCTACAATTTACCACACCACAAAGCATGCAATCCTTTCCAGCATATTACACAATGTGACAGGTTTATTACGCAGCCCTTCCCGTTGTGAAGAGAGATAGCTGTGCTCCCATAAAGAAGATGGGCTTGCTTGTGCTGCACGGATGGGATTTGTTCTGTGGGCTTATGGCACGTTTGAAGCCCTGAGAGCATCTTGCTTGTCCAAATGACAAGTGCACTATTTTGGTCCCAATTTAGGAAAGTAATTAGTGCCTGTTGTCACTCATTGGAATTAAAGCAGAAGGATCAATATAATGATTGTGTATTTTATGCAGTGGAAAAACACTTATTAGAGTGGCTGGTTTTGCACTGTGTTATTACCCCACTTTTGTGTGATATTTTGATGGATTTGCCTTAATTTCGTTGTAATTTTCTTGGGTCAGGAACATTATCTCTATTGGCTATAATGTGCCATTCGCCCTAATGGCAGTGTATTAAAAAAAAAAAAAAAATTACCTCTGTGTGCTGTAGAGCAATCTGGGGGCTACAAAGAGGACAAGGGGAGCCACCATGGGACATAGGTTCTCATGTAGTATTTGTAACCAGGGAGGGAACAAATGCCCCACTCCTTTGGAGTCCCAGTTTGCACACTGTGTCCAGAGCCGAACGCTTATTTGACACCAGAGCTCTTGGACAAATGCATGCTGGGGTTTGCACCAGAGCAGATGGAAACTTTCTCTAAGCATAATAGAGCAGCAGCCTCATCCACACATGTGCAGAATGCTTCATCAAAGATTATTAGCACGTGGGGGACAGTTTCCCCTGTCTGTGACGTGCTTCGAGATCGTTGGCTCCTCTCCAGTTACCTCCTGGTTCAGAGGCTTCTGCTTAGCTAGGAGAGGAGGGACAAACTACTGGGAATGTTTAGGTCCTGTAAAGAGCCTGGAAAATGATTAGAAGGACGATCTGTGGGCATGTCTGTGTGTGTGACTCCTGTAAGGAAGGCAGTAAGGATTCCTCACACCCTGTGATGTCTTCATAGGGCATCAGTTTGCCCAGCAGAAATGCGTATCCTTTGGGATGGGGAGCAGTGTGCTGAGCTCCCTGGGAGCTGTCTTCTGCAGAGCTGCCTGGGAGCTGGTGGGGACCTGTTCTCCATTTCAGGTGGCAGGGGTGAGACATGCTTTTCAGTGATGAGGAGAGGAAGGGGGATCTCAAGGGAACTGGCCGTGTGTAAAGCTAGAGCTGCCTATGTGGAGGGCTGTGCTTTTTTCATCCCCTTTGTGTTTTTTTCTGAAAATTTGACACTTTCTTACCTCTGCAAAAACCTAATAATATAAAACATGTCCTTAATATGAGATGCACGAAGCAGCCCAGGGTACTCTCTGGCTAGATTTTTACATCTCCAGCAGACATAAGTCATGGTATGGTCTGAATTCCTGCAAAGTCCTCTGCCAAAACTCAGGGAGAAGTGAATGGGTGAAAGAGTATGTTTGAGGGCTCAGCAGCCTCTCTGCAGGGACAGTAACAACATGACAGTAGTAATCATACACTTAAAAAAAGCATCCCTTTCTTTCTTTTTGCAGGCAGTTGGCCAAAAGTCTTGGGCAGGCTGGGGAGATTGAGCCAGAAACGGAAGGGATCCTGACAGAGTACGGTGTGGATTTCTCTGACTTTTCCCCCGAAGCCCTGGAGTGTCTTCCCCAGAGCCTCCCCTGGGTTATCTCACCGGCAGAGATGGCCAAACGAAGAGATTTAAGGTAACAACAAAAAGCGGGGTCTGACACTCCATCTTGGGTTGGTGCAGGGTTGTTTTGTTTTGTTTTCATCACGCTTTGAAAAGGTACTGACTTTATTAAATGTACTGTATTACACGTTACCTGTGCTAGCATGGAAAGAAGCTGCTTTCTAAAGTACCTACAAACCCAGAAGATCAGTTATTTGGAGAAGTATTTTGTGAGGCAAAGAGGCTTTTTCTCAAAAGAACTATTGAAAACTGAAAATTTGGTGTTTGGCACCTAATCTGAAAGCTTTATGTTTTTGTCTGGAATGTATTACGTATTTTAGTGGTAGTTTTATAGCAGAGATTTTCTGAATGCCTGGCAGATCAAATGGTCTTGGACACTGTTACTCTGAAACTTAAGCACAGGTAGAGACTGTCCCGCGTTTTCCTGTCTAGTCTCAACATTTTTCTCTGTTTTGAAGAACTGGTGTCATGGGGAGTTTATGACGGCTCTTGATCAGGTTAGCAGCTGGCAAATGCAGTCCCTGCAGCCTGGCAACTCTGTGCTGTCCACCTACCTCACGTTAGCCATCCCCGCAACTTAGTGAAGTTCCCACTAGCATTTGGGAACTCCATAGGCTCTTGGGTGGTAGACACTCTTGACATTGCCGGACTACCCAAAACTAGTGGATTTGCTGCACTTCAAAGTGTCAGATTTCAGAGATGTCTTCACTATACAAATATTTGAAGACAAAAGAAAAGTAATTTGTTAGAACCTCACTTTGCAATAAAGGAAGGTGCAAGAAAGCAAACAAATAAATGCATTATTAAGATGATATAGTGTGTTCCACTCCCACCCTTGCTTATGGTAGAGCATCCTGTCTCAACTGGCAGATTCATTGCTTTCTTGCATATTGCTGAGGTGAAACAGCCCCATGAGCCTGATTCCTCAAGACACTGCACTGGTACAAGCACCTGCATATAGGTAGCAAGCTCCTCTCCCTCTTAATTTTTCTGTGTTATTGACATGGACATTAGCAATTTGAGCAGATGAGCCATTTGTGCCTGTACCTGGACTCCAGATGTTACTTTGGACCTAATTCTGCACTGTAACCTGCAATCTCTTTACTGCTTCAGCTTTACTGGATTTCCGTTGCCATACAATGGAATAATCTAGGGGAGAATCATAGTCCTGATTGACCAGTGGTAACACTCAGATACCAGATCCAGACTGTAGGCTTCAGGTAGCTTAAAAAAAAAAAAGATACTGAATGCTGCAGTTCAGAAGTCACTGGAAAGTGATTATTTTTAATAATCAAATTATTAATATCAAAATAATTTTGACTACATTTCAGTAGCATTCTCTGTTTCTTCTGACCAAGTTCTTTCAAGCAAATAAAGAGCTTGACTTGTTTCCAGTCAGAAAATCAGTTTTGGAAACAAATTCCAAGTGCATTTCTTGCTTTTATTGCTGAATTATTACACTGGGGCTTATCAAGGTGATAACAGTTTTGCAGTTAAGCCATTTAAATCCCTCTCTGCCCCTTCCTGACCACAGTGCACACTACAAAGTAGATTTCCTTTTGATCCTCTCAAATATAAACTTTTAACAGTCAAGGTTTTTAAGACAATTATTTGAGCTAATTTACTAATCCTTTTAATGTCAACTGCCACACCGCTGACTAACTAGTCTGTGGTCTAAACACATATGGAGATAACGTGAGACTTCTAGCTATGGAAAGTAAAATACAGATGGTTTTTTTGTTTCCTCACAGTGAGAGGTTTGTCTACCCAGAAAAAGGTGAGTTTTATTAGTAAATGTAGTGTGAATTGTAGCTGAGTGGGGTCCTGCAGTTGGAGACCTAGCCTCCATCTCTTCTGGTCTCGCCCATCAGACCTTGAGAGACTGTTCTTGACAAGTCCCAGGGTAGCTTGGCTTTAACTTGGTATTAAATATTAGCTTTCACATTATTAGCACTAGGTGCGTTGTGGTCTGCAGTGTTGTATGAATAGCCGGTATGCACTGGCCCAGGTTGGCAACCAGAAGAGGACACCTGAACCTGGGTATCTGCTCTGGGTGCACACAAGAGCTGTGCCTTGTTTTCCAGGGGAGCTCACACCATGTTCAATGGCACCTGCCTCTGTGAGTGCCCATCTTCACTGTACTTTTTGCATGTTGATCTGTCAGGCTCTGAGAGTACAAGATAAGATAAATTACAGTGAAATACTCATCTTTTCTCCAGAACAGCCACGTTAACATTTCTAAATACCTCATCCTAATTCAGTTTACACATTGCTCACCTGACTAGAGTAAACACACATTAGAGTTTGGCTTAAAATACTTTCATCTCTAGTAAATCCTCTCCAGTTCTGTAACAGTGCTGTAAATTTTCAAGTGTCATGCATTAAGCTTCTGGGATTTGGAACCGAGACCTAAGCAAAGTCTTCGGTTTTCAGGTGTTTCCTTTTCCTGAGATAACTTCTCCTTGTTTCCTTTCATCATGGGAAATGACCCTTTCCTCCTCAAAGGTAACTTGTGTGTTCTGCTAACAAGCATCCCGAGTATGGTCAGGTGTGTTTGCAAGTTGGTGTGTAGAGCACGGAGGTAGAGGTTCTGCACTGGAGGCATTTGTGAGTGTGGTTTTAGATGAAAGTCAGACAATGTATTTCACCAAGCTGCTGAGGCTGGGCAAGAGGAGGGAAGGATATTTTGTCCATGCCATCTTGTAAATATGTTCCTTGATCTTCCTGCGAGTCTTTCAGTTTTACAGGAAGCCTGTTCTTGCCATGCCTAGTCTGTTTGGATAGCAACTGTGATCTCACCTACATAGCCTGTGCAGAATTGCTTCCAAGAGATCTTTTTTTTTCCCTCATTTCTCCAGTAATGGCTCACAAAGAAAGGTTTACATAATATTTTAATATTACTTAAGGCAGAAAAGATCCAAACCTCGTGAATGGCTTTGAAATCTTTTAACTGATTTAACTCTCTGCTCTGCCATTAGTGCACAGTTTTGCCGTGGACATCTGCTTTTTACCTGCATGGGTTTATCTATTTGTAAAATTAGGCAAGTATTTCATGGGCACTGCCAGCTTACTTGTTTGTAAAGAGCACCAATAACTTCTAATGAAAAGCACTAGGCAAGTATTAGGTGCTGGCATTGCATACTGCAGTTGTATTTTGTAGAGAGCATGAAGTTTCATAAAGTGTCGGAATAGTGTGGTTGAGGAAACTTCCCTTCCAGAGACTTTAAATGTGATAATACAGATAGGACCAGAGTTCTCATCTTATTATTCAGGTTGACTGGAATTGATATTTTTTTCATTAGAAGCTTGAGAAGTGTTTGGTTTCTGCTTTGAGAGAAACGTTGGAGGATTAGTGTCATAGAAACAAATTTTGATGGGTGCAAAGTTTCAACCATTTTCCGGTCTTTTCCAGTGTTTCAACGTGTAATTTTCATTTCCTTGTTTGCTTTGCTTTGCACTTAGTGTTTCAATGGTGTGGGACAAAATGCAGCCCCTGAACAGAAAAGGGGTCAGGGCAAAGGAGGAAATGAAAATTTCGGAGGTGGGTGCAGGAGATGGGGGCTGGGGGAGGAGGCCAGTTGAAGAGGTGTAGCCAGGAATCTAAGAAACCCAAAAGCTATTTCTAAAACTAATTCCAAATGTTTCTAATTTCATTCATATCTTTTTGTTTCCTTTACTGCTTAACTGGGACAAGAAACTAAAGCCAGGAAAGTCCGATCATAGTGGGAAACAAAAACCTAAATATTGGAGAGAGAAAAAAGGCCATTCTTTGCAAACCAGTTCTGCCTCCCATTGTTGGTGTTACTGTGGAAAATGTATAACATCATTCTTTTGGAAAGTGCTAGAGCCTGTTCAAGTAGAGATGGTTTATATAGTCTAACATGGAAGAACTTGAGGATATCTATTTCTTTACCATTTGCCTAATAATAAGTGAGCCTGTTGACCTCCGCTGGACTATTACAAATGTGAAACTTGGCACTCAAAATTGCTTGCTCTAAATTTTCCAGTTGCTTTCTCTTTTTCCATTTGATGTCATCCTGCCAACTAGTGATTTTATTATTATAAACAGGACATTGTATTCACTTTTAAGAAGAAATATGAAGCTGAAGGTAAAATTACAAACTGCAGTTTCTCAGCTGGCAAAATACAAAACAATGAGCTAAAAATACTGAGCAGAGAAAGGGTGCTGTGGCAAGAAACTCTGAAATATCTACAAGATGGATGTGGTCTGAGGAGCAGAATCTGACTGCAACTGCACTCCTGAGACTCACCAAATGGTTGAGGTTGGAGGGCACCTTTGGAGGTGATCTACTCCAAGCCCCTTGCTCAAAGCAGGGTCAACTAGAGCAGGCTGCTCAGGACTGTGTCCGTTTGGGGTTTGGATATCTCCAAAGTGGAGATTCCACAGCCCCTCTGAGGAACATGTTCTGGGGTTCAATCACCCTTACAGTGAAAACATGGGCATGTTTTACCTTTAAATGGAATCTCCTGTATTTTGTGCCCATTGCCTCTTGTCCTGTTGCAAGATACCACTGAGAAGGGTCTGGCTCTGTCTTCTTTACTGCCTACCATCAGGTATATTTTCACATTGATAAGATCTCCCTGCCTGAGCCTTCTCTTCTTGAAGCTGAACAGTCCCAGCTCTCTCAGCCTCTCCTTGTAGGTCAGAAGCTCCAATTCCTTGATCATCATTGAGGCCCTTCAGCAAACTTGCACCAGTATGTTGATGGCTTCCTGGTACTGGGGAGCCCAGAACTGGACACAGCACTCCAGCTGTGGTCTCACCAGTGCCAAGTAGAGGGGAAGGATTGAAGGACTGCATATCTTGGCCAATAGAGTGTTGCCAGCAGGTCACCTTTGCTATAATGATATGTTGTTGGTTCATGTTCAACTTGTCCATCAGGACCCCAGGTCCTATTCTGCCAAGCTGCTTTCCAGCTGGTGCATGGGGTTATTCCTCCCCACATGCAGGACTTTGCTTTTCCCTTTGAGCTTTGTGAGATTCCCATCAGC